TGCGTGTGCGTGCATGTGTGTGTGTGTGGGTGGGTGGGTGTTTGATTATAAGATAGTAGCTTCCATATGGCTTTTCATATCACCTTCATTTTCCATAACCTAGCCTTTCCTGTTTTGTATCCTGCCACCACTTCCGCACTTAAACCTCTCCACTCACAGTATTCCACCTCCCTACTTTCATATCACTTCTGCTTTATTATCCCTCTCCCAATAGCATATTTCTAGACTTTTGTGGCCTACAGAAGCTCTTAGAGATTTGAAGACAGGGACACATACTTTTCTGTGCCTGGGTTACCTCACTTAGTATTTTTTTTTCTAGTTTCATCTATTTACCTGCCATTGTGTATATGTACCAAACTCTTCACTCATCGGTTGGTTAATAGATAGACTGATTATTTTTCCTAGTTATTTTCAATATAGCAGCAATAAATATGGATGAGCAAGTAGTAGGATATAAATTTCAGTGGTAGGAAATAAATTACTTTGGGTATATGCCCAAAAGAGGAATAGTCATATGGTAGTTCTATTTTTAGTTTTTGAGTGGCTACATTACTTTTGTACTCCCACTAATAGTGAATTTAATTAACTATACTTACATATGCTCAAATGGCTTTCTAAGTTATATGTATGTCTGTGTGTGTGTCTGTGTTTGTATGTGCTTGTACACATAAGATAACTACAACCTTAATCAAAGAAAGTCAAGTGAGCTGTGAAGATCACAGAGACTTAGACAGGTACAATAATAAGTGACAGTTGAGTGTTCAGCCCTAAACAAGGCATTTAATATCATTCTCTCCTGGAATCAGGGAGCATTGCAGAAAAAGAAATAGAAAGAATGTAAAGGACAGAGAATAAAGAAAAAGGTTGCAAAATGCCATGTTGCCTCATGCCAGATCCTGAAAACAACACACAGCCATTATAGTAACAACCTCTCAACAACTGCAGAACACTAACTGGATCTGCACAAGAATGGTGATGACCACTCACTTCCCAACTATGTCCTGCTGATAGATTCAAAGAGAGCTTTTGCCTTCAGCTGTGTAACCAGAAGTGACTCCATTAATTGATTAAACTAAGTGGGTCACAAATCAAAACCAAATTCAGAGTCTTGCATCTGGGAAAGGGACAGGTTAGAGAAAATGAGTTTATATGGGTTAGAAGGAAAATAAGGGAAGGTGCAGGAGAGAGTAACCAGAATATATGTTTGTATGAAATTGTCAAATAACTAACAATTTTAAAAAAGTTAACTTTTTAATTTTCTGAGAAAGCAGATTGATTTCCAAAGTGGTTGTGCAAGTTTCCATTCCTACCGGCAGTGGAGGAAGGTTCCCTTTTCTACACATCCTCTCCAGCATGTGTTGTCACTTGAGTTTTTGATCTTAGCCAATCTGATGGTTATAAGGTGGAATCTCAGGGTCATTTTGATTTGTGTTTCCCTGATGATTAAGATGTTGAGTGTTTAAGTGTTTCTCTGCCATTCAGTATTCCTCTGTTGAGAATTCACTGTTCAGTTCTATACGCTATTTTTTTTTACCTTAAAGTCTTCTTTTTAATTACAATTTACTCACTTTGTATCCCAGCTATAACCCCCTCCTTCATCCCTCTCAATCCCACCGTCCCTCCCTCTTCTCCTCCCATGTCCCTTCCCTAGTCCACTGATAGGGAAGGTACTCCTCCCCTTTTATCTGACCCAAGCCTATCAGGTCTCATCAGGACTACACCCCATTTTTTAATTGGATTACTTGGTTTGTTGGTTTTTAACTTCTTGAGTTCTTTGTATGTGGATATAAGCCCTCTGTCAAATGTAGTGTTAGTGGACATCTTTTCCCAGTCTGTAGGCTGTCGTTTTGTTCTGTTGACAGTGTCCTTTGCTTTACAGAAGCTTTTCAGTTTCAGGAGGTCCCATTTATTGATTGTTGATCGTAGAGCCAGTACTTTTGGTGTTCTGTTCAGTTATACTACCCCTGGGCATATACCCTAACGATTCAGTAAGGACCCGTACCATATACCCTTACCATTCAGTAAGGACATTTGCTCAACCATGTTCGTAGTAGCCTTATTCGTACTAGCCAGAATATGGAAACAACCTAGATGTCCTGCAACTGAAGAATGGATACAGAAATTGTGGTACATTTGCACAATGGAATACTACTCAGCAATTAAAACAAGAAAATCATGAAATTTGCAGGCAAATGGGTGAAACTAGAAAAGATCACCCTGGGTGAAGTAATGTAGAAGCAGAAAGACACACATGGTATATAATCACTTATAAGTGGATATTAGACATATAATACAGGATAAACATACTTAAATCTATAGTCCTAAAAAAAAAAAGCTAAACAACAAGGAGACCCAAGGGAAGATACTTAATCCTCATTCAGAAGGGCAAACAAGATGGACATCGGAAGTGGGAGAAGATAGGAAACATGACAGCAGAGGGCCTCTGAAAGACTCTATCCAGAAGGGTATCAAAGCAGATGCTGAGACTCAAAGCCAAACTTTGGCCAAAGTACAGGGCATCTTATGGAAGAAGGGGGAGATAGAAAGACATGGAGGAAACAGGAGTGCCACAAGGAGACCAACAGAGCCAAAACATCTGGGCCCAGGAGTGCCTGCAGAGACTAATGAATCAACCAAGGACCATGCATGGAGAGAATATAGACCCTGCTCAGATGTAGCCCATGGACAACTCAGTTTACATGTGGGTTCCCTAGTACGGGGAACAGGGGAAATCTCTGGCAAGAACTTGGTTACCTGCTCTTTGATCACCTCTGCCTGCCTGGTAAGGTATCCTTACTAGGTCACAGAGAAAGAGGATCCAGACAGTCCTACCATCTAGGGTCACATAGTAGGGGAGCGGTACCTCTGCTATCAGTAGACTAGTGAAGGGACGTAGTGGGGAAGAGGAAAGGAGGGTGGGACTGGGAGGAGATGAGGGAGGTTGCTACAACCAGATACAAAGTAAATGAATAAGCAATAATAATAAAATTTGAAAAGAGAAAAAAATGAAAATAAAGTTGGAGAGCCTGAAAGGTTTGTCCGGGGAAGCAGTATTTAGATTGAAACTGCCCTGATGAGTACAAGTTTGCCATGCAGATGCATGGAGGGGAAGCAATGCAAGCAAATGCCTTGGGCAGGAAAAGCTTTCTATGTACGAAACTGGTTGAAAGTTGAAGTATAAAGGCAGATAATGAAGAGATAGGTAGATATGGCAAGCATGGAGGAGTAAGTGCTGCCGGGGGTAGGGGAGGACAGGACTGTGGGTTCAAATGCGACCTCTGTAATGGGGCTGGGATTGATTAAATTACCTGCCTCTCCTTGTTTATATTTCTTCTTTCATACAACAAAGACAGTAAGGGGAGGAAGACCTTATCTATTAGTGGACTAGGGAAGGGGCCTAGGGGGAGAAGAGGGAGGGAGGGTGGGATTGGGAGGAGACAGAGGGGGCCACAGCGGGATACAAAGTGAATAAATTGTAATAAATGATAATAATAAAATTTTAAAATAATAATAAAAATTAAAAAAAAAACAAAGGCAGTAAATAAGGCTATTTGCAAAGGTTGTTTTGAGGCTTAGAGAGTTAAGGTATATAATTTGGTTTTTTTAGGGATTTTTTTAAAGAGTGCTTGAATTACCATTGCAAAATATTAAGTGAAAAACATTCTGAAAAATCGCTGTAGCTACTGCTCCTGCTTGATAACTTTCTGATGGAAGATGAATGTTTGGGAGGCAATTTGAATAATGAGTAGCCCTTTTGAACTAGGATGTAAAGGGTCCAATCACATATCTATCTGCACATCATTCTAATTTTACACAGGATAACCAATTGACCAGAGTTTAGATACATTCTCTATTTTTAAGGATTAATTTAAATCCTGAAATGATTTCTTTCGATATGTCAACTGTCTTTGTTTCTACATGAATACCTACCCCACAGTGAGAAGACTATAAAGGCTTATCTGTAACTTGAAAAGAAGAAATTTATAATCACTTTCATCTGGACAGTTTTAGATGAAGCATCAGACCAGTATTAGGCCAGTACTGAAGTTCTACAACTAGCTTTTTACAGCTTTAAGAATTATATTGCTTTCATTCATATTATCAATTTGTGTTATATAGTGGTTGTACTTCCAACACTTCAGTCGACATTTCCTTTGTATGCATATACTGGAATGATTTTATTTAATAAAAAAAGAACATCTCCTATGTGGATTTTAAATTTCCCTTATTAAATATTTATATTTTCAAAATGTCTTTATTTAATTGAGTGAGGTGCTTGGTGCCATTTCAAAATAACCTCAGGTGGTGGGTGTAATGACATATCAAAGATCTGACCTTTAGCATTTTAGGATTCTATTTGTCTGCATTTTCTTCTGCATTCATTTAGTCTTAATTTATATGCTCTTTCTCCATATCACTTAATGAATAGATATATTTATCATAAGATTCATTAAACATAAAAATATACATCTGTATACATTTTATCTGACTAGTAATTTTTACATCATTCATATTTCCGCTGTGGCAAGTGGAAGAGACTTTGGATAAGGTTGATGGGTATTTGCACGAACCTCTTTCATTCTCATTTAGTGCTTCAGTGGGTCCTGGATCTTCTAAACTGATGTCTGTTCTCTTTTCACATCTTGGCAATCAGCTTATTATATTTTTATTTACCTAGAGATACTTTATTTTCTAGTTCTGTGCTACTCCTTTAAAAAAAATTGAATATAATATTTACACTGACATAATTAAATTAACATTTTACATCATCTTTCTGTGTGCTTTGATAACACAGATAATCAGTTTTCTGCATAGCTTCTGGCCTAGTAGCAGAGTTTCAGAACAATGATCAATTATAATAATATGTTGCAAAACTATTTACATGTGTCCAATTAAGTATTTCTATTTTGATTTTCAGAAATGGGGATTCTAAATGAAGTTTTTTATTAAATCATCTTTCAGCCTCCATTATTTATATTTGTATTTTTATATTTTCTCAGTTTACACAAATCATTATCCCAAGAAGAAAATTTGAAGGATCAGTTTAACCATGCTCTTAGTACCTATGAAGAGGCCTTAAGAAACAGAGAGAGTGTTGTTTCCATCACTCAACAGCAGAATGAAGAACTGGTCACCCAACTTGAGCAGGCTATGACCGAACATGCGAACATGGAATTACAGCTTCAGCGTGCTGTGGAGGCCTCTCAAGCAGCCAATGAAAAGGTTCAGAAGTAAGTAAAGGATGTAAAGGATCTGGCACTGAGTTTAAAAGCATGAATCATAAAAAAAAAAGAAGGAAGGAAAAAGAAAACAACTTTCCTTTGCAAACTAAATAATACATATTTTTTTTTTTGGTTTTACTAATGCTTTAAGGAAAAAGTAAACAAAATAAACTTAAGTTACATATCACATCCTTTTTGGATATCAAACAATTATTTGTTTGGGCCTTATTGTTTTAACAATATTTAGGACAAATCATATCTAAGAAATGACCTTGATCAGCTTATGGAGACCCTCCCACACTGAGAGATGACTTATTTGCAGAAGGGTTAGACAGTCAAGTTACCACTGGCTGTACTCACTGAGCCTCCCTGTCATGCTGCTGGAGTTGAGCTCTTCTATGACCTTGTTCTCTGAGGCCTCTAGCTGCACTGAACCCAGTACAGAGAAATTGATTTCCTTGTGTTGTTCTTTAGAAGTATTCTACGCAGCTTTCAGAGTGCATATTTATATGTTTATTTTGACAGCTCTTTGCATTTTTATTAAAATTTAAACAAGGCTGCATAATGAGCAGTCCTTACAACAGAGCACAGAATGTCAGCAGTTTCTCAAACAAAGATGGCCGTTAGTAATTTATGGAACTTGAACATTGTAGCATCATTTTCAGAGGACATTGTTTGGGCCAGGGCTTGTCATCTACCCTTCTTTTGTATGGTTAGCAGCACCATATCGTCTTTCACAAATTTAACCTCCTCTAGCTGCCAACTCACTTTCTTCCCTTAAGTTTGTGTGCTCAAGGATTGTTATTCCCTCTTACTTCCTAGGTGAAATAAGTTATCTCAACCATTTCCCCAACATCTCTGCAACCATGCCTAAACTGATAGCCCAAACTCAGGTGCATCTGGGTCAAGCCATTTTAGGCATTTAGGTTTTGGCATTACACACTGTACTCTTTTTTTCAGTTTTTTATTATTATTATTATTATTATTATTATTATTATTATTATTATTATTATTATTATTAACATTTTATTAACTCTGTATCCCAGCTGTATCCAGCTGTCATATTCCCTCCCAATCCCACGCTTCCTCCCTCATCTCCTCCTTACTTGGAAGCTTTTGATGAAGCTCTGGGCATTACTGTTTAAAGATCAGGTTCAAATTCACTCAAGAAACTATACATCTTTTTACTTGGCAATGTGCATTAACAAACTAAGAATGCTGTGATATAAAAATTTTAACTCTAAATCATAATCAATAACTTAGACAGTTATGATTTACTTCTATTTGTCCAGGCTACAAATAATTATAAACTTCAAAGTTTTCTATGTGTAAGCACTTCATTGCTTTCTGACTAAAATTTCATGAAACAATGGTTCCTTGAAACCAGTTGGGTTTCAAAAAATGTTGGAAATGTCAATTTTTATCTCACCAGCTAGCATTATCATCTTTTAAAAGAAAGATCTTTTGCACACCAGAAAGGGGAAAGATTGTCATCTCAGATAATGTATCAAATTGGGTAGTTTTAACTACTGGACAAACTTATATTGTCTTTATTTTGTACATTTAACCATAAACAAATAAAATCTCTTTAATATAATGCTATCAACCTGAGTATAAGCTTAAGTACAACAAGTTATTTATAAGAGCCAAATGTTGAAAATACTTTTTATAAAAAAAATTTTATTCTGATTTCCAACAAGACCTAGGTGACGTATTATCAGCCTTCTTTTACATAGTCTGTTTACTTTATTAGCCACAAATTAGGTACTGTGTATCTTCATTGTGGGTATATGAACATTATTCTGTGCATGCTAGGTAATTTTTAGGAAGGTTATCCTCTGAAAAGACAATGAATAAAGCTATGTAAGATGGGCTTCGTATATTCTATACAGTCTAGTTTTATTCTTTGAAAAATATGTAAATGCTTTATGCAATGTAAAATTTGAATGAGAGAGGTCTCTTCTCCCTTCACAACCAGATCTCTTGAATAGATGATCAAAAATAATCTTTCATTTTTAATACCTACATATTTTCTGCTGTTCATTACATTGTTGGCAACTGGCTAAAACTATTCTCTTTAAGATTAAAAGTAATTTCTTAATTCCAAAGTTCATGGCACATATTAACCATATTCTTATTATACAACTGATATACAATCATGATTAAAAAAAAGATGTCTTATATGATTAATATAACATTATTTCAGAAGTTAGGCTTTGGATTTCAAATGTGTAGGTATGTGCTTGGAGTTTATTTTGAAACTTCATGCCAATATTCACAGTGACTTGCCTTCCTTGGCAATATTGTAGGAAATAAGGCAAGCAAAGCCATTAAACAATGCATGTTCTATATTCCCTGCTCTTGCTGTCTTACTCTCTACTGTACTGTCTGTCTCATTCTTCATCCCTTTCAAGACCAAATGCCTTTGCAAATGTTGATCTCTCTACTTAGAGCCATTTGCTGTCCCTGCCAGCCTCCTGGAGAACATTGTTAATCCTATGAGAGTCAGTGCAACATTGAACATAGGGGAGAATGGACTCAGTGGTTATGTCAAGTAGTTCTGGATTTCAGTCCCTGCTTTCCTACTAGGAAAATTTGAGGCCCATTTTCTACGCCATAAGTAAAGTTCCTAGATCAGGTTTGACAATAAATCTGGCAGGCTTCTAGTAAAGAATAAATTGTGTAACATATAATGCCTAGTGCATTGCTAGAAACATTCTAAAATGTTATATTTATTAATAGCTTCATATCTATCAGTATACTACGACCAGTTCTGCTGCATCTTCTCTACAAAGTTGTCTTCATCTTCCTAGAAAGAAAAATCTATCTATTCTCTGTATTACAGTATTTGGCATTTAAAAAATGTATTAGATCTTCCATTCAGCAATATGCCCAAATGCAGTAATTGGGCTATATATGTATATGCTTATGTCTTTCCTACTAGACTATATATTGCTTGGATATGGAAGTCCTTAAGACATGTAAGTCCTAAAGCTCTACATGATGCATCTTACCTATTGAGTACCAAATGAATGTGACTTGGAAAGGGGCACAGTGGAGATGAGCGAGGGAGGGTGGGATTGGGAGGGAATGAGGGAGCGGGATACAGCTGGGATACAGAGTTAATAAAATGTAACTGATAAGAAAAAAATAAAATTAAAAACAAAAAAAACCTTAGAAATATATAAATACTGAGACGTAGCTATATGATCATATAATCTTATTTCAGGACTTATTAAGATTAGTAAGCATTACATTTACAAAAAACAGTCAATTCTTAGAATATGGAACTCTATCTTTAATACCATTCCATTCCTTCCTGATATCATTGAGACAGGGTTATATAACTCTATTTTCTTTTCTTGATACTTCCCTTCCTGTTTTTACTCCACTTCTCTGGGGGAATATATCTGCCTTAAAACCAAATGATGGTTTAGTTGAAGATTAACTCTTCAGTTAAATTCAGGAGAAACACATGCATTTATGTAACTTCAGCCACTACCACCTACTCAGATAACTTCCAGATCAGTGCGTCAGTGCTCACCTCAGACTCACCTCATGACCCCAGGATGCTGTTTCCCCTCCTGCCAATCAAGTCTTTCCCATTCTCCTTGATTTCCTACTTCAGTTTACAGACTTCAACAATTTCAGCACTGTCTCTGTTATTTGGCTGGTTGGTTGGGTTTTGGGTTTTTTTTTTTTTTTCTCTTTTTACCTTCGCATTCTTTTGGCACCAGTTTCTACTACTGCGTAAAAGTCTCCTGATTCCCTCTACCTCAGCTTTACCCCACATCTCTTCAGCTCCTCCTCATTCCTTGAGGACCTTGGCAATAATCATAAAACTAGCCTTCCTGCCTTGAGTACTCTCAAGTTTGCCTTCCTTTCTGCCATTACAATGAAATGCTCTAAAGAATAAATAAAATAATATTGTTTTTCTATTAAGAATTTCTCAGGTGTCGTTCACTCCCTACAGGTTAAAGCACAAACAACTTAACATGACATCTGAAGCCAAGTGCAGGAGTTCCCTCATTGTTCTAGCATCATTTCCTTCTGTGACCACACTTTCTACACCCGCTTCTGGAAGCTTCCTAAAATACATGCCTTTTGCTATATTGTATGAAGATTTTGTCACTCTCTAAGGTGCAGCCTAATTATTATAATCCCTGTCATAAATCTATAACTGTTTTTTTTTCTTTTTTTTTTTTTGATAATTACAGTTTATTCACTTTGTATCCCAGCTCTAGGCCCCTTCTCCATCCCCTTCCAATCGCACCCTCCCTCCCTCTTCTTCTCTTATGCCCCTCCCCTAGTTCACTGATAGGGGAGGTCCTCCTTCCCTTCTATCTGACTCTAGTCTATCAGGTCTCATCAGGACTGGCTTCTTTGTCTTCCTCTGTGGACTGGCAAAGTTGCTCCTCCTCAGGTGGAGGTGATCAAAGAGCAAGCCCATGAGTTCATGTCAGAGATCGTCTCTCCTGGGAGATCCAACACTCTTCTCTGATGTCTGCTGCACCCGGCACACACGTGGTACATAGGCATACATGCAGCCAACACGCTCACACACATAAAATAAATAAATCCTTTAAAAAGATTTTCCTATTTCATCATTATTTTTATTATTTTTCTTTTACTTTTCTTTTACTGTTTGTTTGTTTGTTTGTTTGTTTGTTTTTGAAAAGGTTTCTCTGTGTCATGCTAGCTGTCCTAAAGCTTGCTCTGTAGACCAAACTGGCCTCAGACTTGGAGATCTGCCTGCCTCTGTGTCCTGAGTGCTGGGATTACAGGCGTGTGCCACCACCACTCCCAGCTATTTTCATCATTCTTAATCTGTGCCTTTACTAGCAATCTTTAGTTATCGCAGTGCTATAATAATTTTGAACTTCATTTCACTCTATGAACTGTTTCACTCCCTGAAATTTCCCAAGACACAGACACCATCTCCAGATACTGTCCCCAAAGTCTTGCCAGACACTGTCTGTAAAGTGGGCATTGCCATTGTGCTAGTACTC